TAGTAGGACTAAGACTAATTTTTATATTCTTTTGTGTACACCTCTTTATTTTCAAAATTTTATATTATTTTATAATCAGGGAAAGAAACCTAATATGCTTTAAAGATTGGCTCTATGAAACAAAGTTTTTACCTTCAGCTGAGTATTTTAGGACAAAAGATTTACTTTGCTCTGAATTATCTGGGTACTATTGCAAATATTCATTCTTCTCTGACTATAAACAGTCTAAACATTTTTCTTTTTTTTTTTTTTTTGGTTCTTAATAAATCAAGCTAAACAAAATCAAACTAAAAGCTGAATTAACATCTTTATAACTTTAGTCCCATCCATATTTAATTTTTCCTAAAAGCAATCCAAAGGTATACACGCAAAGTAAAATATGACCAACTCTTCAGAGTTATCAGAAACATTCTTGTGAAGAATTGTGTAACCCTCAAAATGTGAAAACTGTCAATGGGACAAATATTTGGGACTACACATTCAGAACGATGTTCTATGATCCATAGAACCCAAAGAATTCCAGCTTCTCTGCCCAGTCTTCAGGAGGCTCATAGCCAGAGGCAAGGCAAAGCTTCCTCTTTGGCCTTAAACAAATGTTTCTGATTCTTTCCTCTTCATTGGTTAAAAAATAACCCCAAAGCAAATAAAGCCAACATCTGAATTAAGATATTTCATACGAACTTCAATCTAGCCCAAACCTAACATTTCCTCATCTAAGGCAAAATGGCTGAGATTAACTCTTTCCTAATCTAGGAGTTAATAAAATTATTTTGCCGATAAATGAGTTTTATATAGATTAATTCATGAAAATTTAAAAGGACAAATTTGAAAAGAAGGTAAAGACTGGATGGCCACAAAAAGAACAATAAGAAGTTCTGTAAGATGAGGCTAACTCAAAATTATGGTTCATCTCTACATAATTTAAATTTCATCTGTAATATAGCAACAACTAGTTTGTCATAAAATGTTTCCAAAACCATGTTTAAATAGTTTGTATATTCACCAAATTCCTTACATTTCATGTTTCTAACTGTAGATGAAACTCCCAAGCCCAAATCATGTTTTTAATTTAACAACATGTATTAGGTTACTCTAAGGTATGTGAATGAGGCCTAAGGGGGAATAATGTATACTGGAGCCACACAACATAACTAAACAAACCGCAGTGTGCTTAACTGGAAGGGTGAAAAATCAGCCCATGTTATCCACAAGAACTAGTTTCTTGAATCTGTGACAAATATATAAAATATAAAAGAGAATTAAAGAAAAAAAAAAGAATCCAATTCATGAGACACGTCATCTTTACATATATGTCTTCCTATTTAAAAATGTGTTGGGATGAAGATGAGATAGGTACATACTACATTAAACCAGAGTTAATACTTGGCAAAGACACAGCAGTTTCTACAAGGCTCATACTCCCTTCATATTTTAATTTTTCAATTTTAGGCAATCCAAATGCTCAATTTCAGCTGTTGATTTTGTAATGTAAGTTTCCAACCCAGATTTCACTAAGAAAGTTAAAAATAAATGCACTGCTGGGGCTGCTGCCAGTGTGTGCATCAATAAATATCAACCAA